AAGTACACCTCCTAGGTCAGTGATGGCGAACCTTTTGAGCTCGGCGTGCCAGCATTTTGAAAAACCCTAACTTAATTCTGGTGCCGTGTCACATATAGAAATTTTTTGATATTTGCAACCATAGTAAAACAAAGACTTATATTTTTGATATTTATTTTATATATTTAAGTGCCATTTAACAAAGAAAAATCAACCAAAAAAATGACTTTGCGTGTCACCTCTGACATGCGTGTCATAGGTTTGCCATCATTGTCCTAGGTACTGGGGGTTCCAGTCATGTTGGTAGATACCACACAAGAAATTTTAAGCCGATAAGGCCCTATTTAGCAAAACTACCTACCAACATCCTTCAAACAAAAGGCAGGGGAAAAATAGCAACAGCCCACATAATTAATCTGTACAGAATCACACAAGATGTTTTAAACAGTGATGATCACAGAGTGCTGGCGCTGGATGGGGCCCTGGGTGCTGCTCAGGTGGTGCATGGCGTAGCAGTGCTGGCTTCCTTCCTGTTCTCTCTCTTGCTTTATTTGGCGATGCAGAGATGAAGGCTCGGGGAGAGGAAGGGGCTTGGACAAACGGATACAGGGGAGCCGAGCAGAGTCAGAACTGGAAAAGCAATGGGCATCTTCTCCCATTGCATTAAAGGCTGAAACACACAGGCTGTGATCGTTATATGGACACGCTTCCCATTTTTCCCACTGTCTTCTTTTCCTCCCCTTATTGTTTAACCCAGCTTTCCTAGTTCATCTCACAGACTATTTTGGAAATTAGAAAGCATATTTTTAATGCAAATAATACCTTTTAAAAAAAGGTTGTAAACACCCACAGCATCTTCATGCTTAATGACTTGATGCCAACTGTCTGTATTCATGGGTATTTTTGGATCTATAAATGTCATTTGTCTATTCATATACATTTGTATTCCTGGTTTCCAAATCGAGTTGTTTTCCCTCACCTCCCACAAAACAGTGCTCCTGACATTTTGGTAGCGTGGCCATAACTACACAGTCCCATCAGGGTAGTTAGTGGTATATACAAGTTACTGGTGAAGGTGAAAATATGTGGCTAAATAGTTTTCTTCCAGGGCTGCCATCTTTCGCAAGAAAAGATGGAAAGACAAGCAGGCAGTGCTTTTCTACAGAAGAGAGAGTTAGATCTAAAAAAAAAAAATAGGAAGCATCTCAGGCTTGAGGCACTTTCCTAGAGGATTCTTTTCTGCGCTGCTGTGCAGAGATCCCTGGCATGGGACATAAGCCCGGCTTCCTTTAAATGTGTTTATGCAAACCTTATTCTTTATTTGCTATAATCACCACCTGAAATATGTAAGTAAAGCACACAATTTATCTTAATTTTTTCCTCTTTTTATTTTTTTTATTTTCATTGATTTCAGAGAGGAAGAGAAAACGGAGAGGGAGATAGAAACATCAGTGATGAGAGAGAATCATCGATCGGCTGCCCCCTGCATGTCCCACACTAGGGATTGAGCCGGCAACCCGGGCCTGTGCCCTGACTGGGAATTGAACTGTGACCTCCTGGTTCATAGTTTGATGCTCAAACACTGCGCCACGCCGGTTGAACTCAATTTTCTTTTCTAATCCTAGGCAGGATTAGTCATTTCCTCCTCTGCATTTCCATGTAACATCTTGTATACATGTCCAATGTAGAGTAATGATTGGTTTACAGGCCTATTCATGGTTGCCCACCCTCCGGACTTACAGCTCTTCATGGGCAGACATGGGAGCATCCGTGTGCTCTCTGTGTCTAGTCCAATACCTGCTGAGCGTGGGCACTCCAGAGCTGTCTGCTGAATCGCCCACAAACTCCCTCACAGCGATGACGTGTCATAGTCCAGTGGCCCATGGCCAGGACTAGGCCTGTCAGTGAACTATCTCAGCCTCCAGGCCCCCAAGCCTCATGGAGTTTCCATGAGCAGCAGCTGCCATGTGTTCGGGAAGATATGTGAAGTGCCGCGAATCGGAACGGCCACACCCTGACTGATACGAAGACCTTCCGAGGTTGTGCGTTATGGTAACCCTCAGGAACCCGCCTCACTACGTGAGAAAACAACTCTTGCACTGCCTGGGTCGGCATGCTTGAAAGGTTCCGAAAGGCCATACATACACGTGCGCACACACGCCATGTACACACAGGCACACAGGCACTGTGAGCCAGCATTGCCCTGCAGTATCAGGAGCCTCCTGACCTGGAATCGCACCGCGTGGGGCTGAAGCACAACAGTCAGTGTAAGAGGCACTTTCCCAACAAACCCTTTGAACATGTTCATCGCTCTCAGCAGCAACACCAGATCCCATCAGGCAGCCCTGCCAGAGCTGCCTCCACTCTTCTCTGTAATTAGGCTCTTTGCGGGCACATTGTGTCGCCCCTGAGGAGAGGTCATTAGAGGCACGCTCTCCTGGCGGGAATCACACCCCGGGCCCTACACGCGTGATGGCAACTGGCAAAGGAAGCAGTTCTTACCCTCATGGCGATGCGGAGGGAACACGCAGTGCCTGGATCCCACTCGTTTCCATTGTTTGTCACCGTGTTCTTGGCACAATCTTGCTGAGTCCATGAGAGTATGTGAGAGTTATCACCACCCGTCCGCCGCCGCCTCTGTGGAGCTCTGTGCGGTGGTGGTTGTCTTACAGTCCAGGCTGTTGTTCAAGGCGGGGACAGTGTCAAGAACTGTGGAGAGTCTAGCATTGTCCTCTACGTGCAGGTAAATAAGTTAACCTGCCACGGTGGCATGTGTTCTGGTAGAAGAAATGAGGAAATTAAAATCAGTGACAAAAGAGTTTATTGCTCACAGTAGTAGTAGATGAATCAACCAGGCTGGCCTGGGGCGGCCCCGGGGAAAGAAGTAAAAGCATCCTGCCTGGGAATGGACAGGGTAGGGTCAGACATTTCCCGATAAAACTCTCCCTTCCTCCCCCTCGCATCCTCGAAATCCCCAGGGATCAGTGAGAGGAAAGGACCCCTCCTGGGAGAGTGCACTCATCGACCAGGAAGAAGAGAGGGGGCTGGATGGGAGGCAGAGCCAGGTGCCGAGGAGGCCACTTCAGCGCCCAGCCCGGTGTCCGTGGCGGCAGGAGCAGGGAAGGCCCCTCAGATGCCTGACTGCCCGCGGTTGCGGAGAAGCTGGTGACCCCGACAGCCAGGCACTCGATGTGGGCCCGTGTCGAGGCCACCGTGCTGAGGCCAGAGTTGGCTGATCAGATGGGAGCAAACACCATCCCCTGGAAACGTATCCAGGCAGCGAGGCCCAGTGGACAGCCCTGAGAGGGGTCAGAGGTCAAGTGTCGCCCATCGGCCGGGAGTGGTGCAGTCACTTCCCTGTGATGCGTTCCTCCCTCACTGCGAGACAGAGGGGTCCGTTTGGGGCAGGAGTCTGAGTCTGCAGGAACATGGGGGCCCTTTCGCTGCGCCGTCTGTGATGGCACCGACGTTTCTGTGCTCAGTGTGGGGACCGTCTCACGGCGTGGGCAGCCTCCAGCATGTGCTGAGTGCTGCTTCCGGGGCGGGCGGGGGCCTCCCTGGGACTGCAGTCGGCTGTGCCCTGTGCACCGACTCATGCACCGGCCCAAGGCTGCCTCTGCCCCAGCAAGGGAGCACCCAGGCCTCCCCCAGGGGCCTGCTCCTTCCTCACTGCACAGCCCCGTCCCCCAGGCCCACAGCGCCCTGACTACAGACGCCCTCCAGTCCCAGTGCTGAAACTCCAGGGCACCGAGCAATCCTGTGACAGTTTAAAGATAAATAAAAGATGGCGTTACTTTATACAGTGGGTAGTAAACATATGGAACTCGTTACCCTCAAGATGTTGCGTGGTCCACAAATATAAATAGGGTAGAGCAGCTTTGGATACATGCATGCTTGTTGCACTCGGGGGAGCTGCTCGAGCATCGTTAGGCACACACAGTGCCTCCAGGGACAATGCCACGCTTGTCCTCAGAATGTCCTTGGTGCCAGTGCCACCGCCTGCACAGGCACGTTGCCGGCCGCCAGGTTTCTTGGGGAGATCAGCGCCCACGATACCAACGTGTTCCGGTAACTGAGGGCCGAGCTGCTGCGCAGGTCCATCCATCAGCAGGTCGTGTAGAAACCGTTCTCCGGGGCGGTGTGCACTCCGCTGGGACTTAACCTGAGCGGCCACATTGTGAAACTTGTCCTGGGCTGTAAGGTGACCCCGGCATCGGCCGACACGCGGCACTCCCTGAGCACAGCCCGGCCCCAGGAGCTGCGGGTCATTCTTTTCATTCTCAGCGTCGGGATCGCTCTTCTCCCCGGTCATTGTGAAACTTGTCCTGGGCTGTAAGGTGACCCCGGGCATCAGCCGACACGCGGCACTCCCTGAGCACAGCCCGGCCCCGGGGAGCTGCGGGTCCTTCTTTTCATTCTCAGTGTCGGGATCGCTCTTCTCCCCGGGCCTTCAGCTTCTGTTTCCACTGATGCGAGTGGCCTTGCAGGACCAACCCCCTCCCCCTGATGTGTGCTCCCCACTCCGACTTCAGAGGGAGGCGCCCCACTTCCTCCCTCCCATGTCACCCCATCTCCGCTGTGACAGAGGCCTCTCTTCACTAAGGGGCAGCCCAGGCTGTGCGTTTCTCAGGCTCCCCTGACGCTGGGTAAACGCGGAAGAGAAGTGCATTGTGTGCTGCTGGCTCTGGGTTCCCAGGAGCGCACCCCGCACCAGGAAGGCTCCGACAGCCAGTTGGGGTCAGAGCCCTAAGAGGAAAGATGAGAGTCCCTCTGGGGAGGGGCGTGTTCTAAGCAGGGAGGGACCAGCAGGTGAGAGGGACTAGAACAGACTTGGTCCACTTGACAGTGTAGTCTGGGGTTCCCAGGAAGTCCCTGGCACTCACACACCCTCAGGAGACCCCAATCCAGCCCCCACAGATCTCCCATTCCCTCCCGCTCACCCCTGAAAAGAGCCAAATGGTTTTTTAGATGCCCCTCAAAGCCCCTCCCCTTTTATACTTTTCATTATGTGACTCCATAGATGCACAGGATTGATCTCACCTCCCTGCTGCAGCGAGCGTCCGGGAAAACAGATGGGCACCCAGACTCCCTCCCCGCTCTCCTCCACAGCCCGCTCCCAGGGCCTCAGGACAGGCGTGGTCAGCGCCTCTGAGGAACACGGAGTCTCAGCCCTCGCTCAGACCTGCCGGAGCAGAGCCTGCCTTTCACCAGGTCTCCGGGGCGTTAAAATGCACAGTCACGTTTGAGAAGCCTTATCAAGGGTGCCGGAAAGCTAAGGAAGCTCTGCGGACTCCTGCACACGCCTCAAACACGCACCCAGCGTGCACCGGAACCGGGCCAACAAGCATCTGGAAGCTGTATCGCTGAAGAGAAGACGTCCGCTTGCTCTCAGCACCACGCGGCGCTGCACGGGATCGCTCGCAGAAACCCGGCTATTCAGGAAGGACTGGTGAGCTCCAGCCCGTTTCTGTTAACTGCTTCTCCCTGCTCCGTCGCATGGCCTCTTCTCTGTTCACCGGTGCCGGGGTTCCTGTGGAAGACGTGAGCCCCAAGTTCTCTCTGCATGTATGTACTAGGCATACAACCTGTCCACTAACAGTGCTAATTACACGAGACAGTCTTTGTTAGTTGGTCACTATAACACCTTATGTGTTTAAGGCACTTTAATATTTGAAATAATTCTGTATTGCTTCAAGCACCGTGCAGCCCTAGAATCGTAACATCTCAGAGTTTTTGCATAAACTCTTCAGGGAATTCCCCCTAAACACCAACAACTGGCCCTCTTCCTTCTGCTTGAGTACTCCTAAAGGCATGACACATACATACCTCCTCCTACATCAATCTCTTCTAGGTTTGAACACTTCTAAGTTGTAGAGTTCTTTCTCGTGCTGGTTTAGACTTTGTCACCCATTGGTCTCTATCATGATTGTTCATTGCAGTTGTTAATTCTAGAGCGATTTCCCTTAGCTGGTTTGTATAGTCCTTTTTGTTACGAGGAAAATTGGGAGCAGAGGCACAGAAATGTCATAGCAGGTTCCAGAGGCCCCCAGAAAGCTCGTGGAGAAACCAAGACTAGAAAGTATTTCCTTCTACGTAACTTACAGTCTGTTCACTAGACTGTCTGCCAAGAAACGCTGCTCTGTGACCAGCGCTGTGATAACACGCAAGGAAAACATCGGTTCCTGGGAAAGACGGCGGAGAGGGTGCGGTGAACACCCAGAAGCTGTCCCTCCCTTCGTGGGTCAGACATCTGGCCAGCAGCCCGGGTGGGAGCTGCCGCCAGAATCCACCGTGGGGATCTGAGCCGTTCCCACACGGAGACTGGCCTCTGGCAGCTGACAGTTTTCCTTTGTGCAAAGGGTGTTCCTGGCTCTCCATCAATTCCTCCCGCTCTGCACTCCTTTCCCGCCACCCCCGCACTCCACACCCTGCTGCACACACCCTCCCACTCCCGCAGCAACACAACCCCTCCCTGGGGTGCATTCTGCACACACAGGCCCCCACACTTCCTCTGCCCACGCCCACAGGGCGCTCCGAGGCACCCCTCCTTCCCCCACCAGCCTCCTCACAGCCCTCAGTGCCCTGTCTGCTGCCCAGCTTCCTCCCCTCCTCACTATCTCTGCTTCATTGTGTGGTTTCCCGGCGCCTCACCCGCCCGCCCCTCTCTGCGCCCTTTGCCTGGCCGGGAACCTGGCACCGGCTCCTGTCCTGTACATTGGAATCCGAGCCGTCACCAGCCGGAAGGTAGTCAGCCTGCATGTGCCTGCCTGTTCCTCACCCACAGCGAGGCCACCGCGGAGGGTGGGAAGGAGCTGGCAGTCAGTCCTATTTCTGGAAACGATAGAAACTCCTGTTCCCCAACCCCCCCCCCTTTATTCCCAGGGGAACCAACAGAGGAGGCCAAGGGTAGTCACCGTCTTTCCTCCTTCCCTCACTCTGTTGCAGATTTCCCATCCCTTCTTCAGAGGCCCTGGCAGTGTGCTTGGTGGCATCGCTCACATCCTGTCTAGATGACAGGTTACGCAAGGCTAGGGTATCCCACAGAGGACAGACAGGACAATGAAAGAGGGAGCCCGGCCGGTGTGGCTCAGTGGTTGTGGGTCGACCTATGAACCTGGTGGTCACAGTTCGATTTCCAGTCAGGGCACAGACCCGGGTTGCGGGCTCCATCCCCAGTAGGGGAGGTGCAGGAGGCAGCCG